CGGTGAAAGTATACGCTCATTATCCTGTGGTTGTAACTGGAGAGCCGATTTCATATCGTCATGAATATATTGATGTATGGAACTTCATTTCAACGGAGCACAGGTGGAGGTCTTACAAATTTGTAATGGCCATCTATCATGATTGGGTTCCAACGTATTTTGCATTACTTTGTTCTGCAATTGACCGTTTACCGGATATTCCTTCAGGCGGTGCACCTCGTCAGTCGGTGGTTCAGCCCGGGAGCCCAACTGACCAGGATTCCTCACGGGGGGAAAGTTTATAGCCAGAGGATGAGGAATTGGACGCAGATACTAAAAGGAAGCGTGGCAATCAACCTCAGCCATCCATTGGACGAAAGGCTTCCAGAGGTTCAAAGAGGTTGAAGGAAGGACACTAATCATAGGCTGCGCTTTTCTCCTGGCCGCCCACAACACCTTGGCCATAATTATATATAGTATGTTCCTTCAGTTCGGTCTCCATAGTATAGTCCTCATGGCGGGTTTCCTAAGTTTCTTTGTGTTATCAATTCGGTCAACATGATTTCTCATGATCTCATTGATATGTCACGGTATGGTTTGGGGAATAATCATGGCTGCCCGGATCAAATTGCAAAAGAATGGCATGTTATTCAGCACAATATAGAAATATGATACAATACTAGATCAGAATCAGTCAAAAGGAAAAGTAGTTGGGTACTTTTCTAAGTCGTAATGTGCACCACCTGGCGAAATTTGTTCCTTAGACGACAGTTGATGACCATGGGGTTCTAACACGCCTTTTGCCAACCCCTGTGCATTTACAAAAGCGACCTGTATATCTAGTACATACTATCATCAGTTATTAGCAAGGATCATTTGCAACCCAGCTGCAGCGTACACGTGTATCTTGAACCATATGCCCTTAACAAGCCATGCATCATCATCATCCCAGTTACCCTTTTACAAAGCAAATCTATCTTGTATGCTTAGAGAATGCCTTGTGTTGAATGACTATATTACCTAAATAATTGCACTATTCCGGGATCTGGGCGAGAGAGGAGAGGCTACGATTGCTGCTGATGAGGGCCGAGAAATGGATAGAAATAATAACTAGTATCTATCATTCCTTGGTAGCCTAAGCAATTTACCAGAGGTGGTGCCTGGCTACTGTGAATGTCTCTGAACATAATATGAATTGAGTCAGATAGGGGCTGTGTCAACGATTTATCTTTGAATGCTATATATTCAGCTATCCTGAACTCTCAAACGTCTGGCTAGTGCCATCAAAATGACTGATATTGGACATGTTGCAGCACCTTAATTTTCAAAAACTAACCCAGCAAGCTCCAACAGCTCAGCATGACTGATCTCAACATCCCCTTCAGATGGCCCCCTTGATCTCCCCATCAGGTCCTTGAATTTTAGCTTGACTGAATCACCCTCTACATGGGGTGTTTCGGCTCCATAATTCACTGTAGTCGTGGATTTCAACACAGGCCGGTAATCATTTGGGCCTCCCTTGGACTGAGACCTAGTGTTAGGAGACTTTTGGTCTTCGGGGCCATATTTCTCAAGCACAATGCACCTTGTTTGCATTAACACATTGATAATCAAGACAACCTTAACTTCCCCAACGGAGTTTGCAATCCACCACGCAGCATCCTGCCGCAGACGTGGCATGGAATCATCAGACACTGCAGATTCGACCACAAAGGAAGGCCAGTCACGCTTATCAGATCGGATAGCAGGATTCTTGAAGGCACTGTCCCCTTCTTTGATCGCTCCCCATGGCCCTTCAAATTCAGAGGATCCTAGGGACACGAACTGACTGAAATCGATGTTCATGTCAGCGAGTTTGGTCGATATAATGTGGCAGAGACTGTCATGCACAGTTTCAGTGGTGCTGGTAACCACCTTGAGTACGAGGGTGCTGATTTCAGGATAGTAAGTGAAACGGACTGCGCTGCCCAGTTTCTTTCGACGACTTTCAATGAATCGGAACTCTTTTAGAGAAACATTCTTGAAAGATAGGTATTGGCTCACATCTCCTGTTTCCAGTCTTTTGTGTAGATCTGCAACGGCCTTGGTGAGGACTTGCAGGTCCTGGTAGGGTGTAGCGGGATACTTCCTGATGAGGGCGAGCTCGGAGGAGGAAGGCATTGTGGGGATATCCTTGGAAGATGGAGCAGCAAAACAAAGATGTGAGTATAAAGGGTGAGGCTTTGAGTGAATGGAGAGAGGGTGCATAGAACCTGTTGGCAGGGGTGAAACACGGCCTTAAATAAGGAAGAGTGTCAGAGAGTAGAGCTTGACAACATTTTCTTGCCTTTGAATTCTCGGGGTGTTCTGTGCTCATCTCCGGGGTGTGCCGTTCATATTTCATTGCAACTACTTCTCTCTAAAGAATTCTCTTAGCATGAGGTGGCCTAGGTGATGCCGGACTTTTCCAGTTATGATCCCGAGCTGATAAACTCGATGGACTTTGATATCGGCTGTTTTCATTGCCTACCTTGAGGAGACTTGAGTCTATACCTGTCTATTCATTGAAATGCATATTAATCAGGCTACTCCACCTTTATCACGACATGATGATCCCGCAATCCATCTCCTTTCTTTCAATTCCACATTACAACTCACCATTGATTAGCGAAAGAACAAGAGTCTTTGTTGAAGGTAATGGTCCGGAACATTCCAGGTTGAGAACAAACAAGCTGCATAAATTCTAAACACTTTGTAACTCTACCATGTTTCTCTGTCTTTTGACCCATTTATGGGTAGTACTATATACTTCCACATGTCATTCTCGGCCATGCTGCCATCAATGATACTCATCATTCTTTACTTGATTAATCCTGCACAGCAACTCTACTCAATACAATCTATCTTAATTCAGTTACTCCTCCTTCTTCTCTGCAGCCAAGATGCCTCGCATAGAACAGGTTCATCAAGAAAGCCGTCGAAGAAGTGATAGCATTCGTGAAATAGCACAAAGGAAACTAGCCAGCACAGAGAAGCAAGAACCTTCTTCACCATCAAACAAACGTACAAAAGTATGTATAATGCGAGCAACTTGCTATCTCACTATCAGACACTGACGTTGTGTGTACCATGGTCACAAACCAAACCATCAGCCAACATGCAGAAAAAGCGAAAAGCGCCGGCATCACAACATGTGGAAAAACAGCCCAAGAAGCCTTGTCGGCAGCAGAATCCTGCTGTACCGGATGCCGGAAACATCGATCAGGAGGTATGTCGCTCGCCACTTTTCCCATGAAGAAGGAACAAAATAGAGCTGACACTATTCTAGTGAATTCAGGCATTCCTACAGACAGTCAAGGGCTCTTCCATACACTACTGGATACAGAATGATCGATGGCCGAAGACGCTCTTCAATAATGTCCTTGGGTTTGTTCTTGTTTCACCACAAGAAAGCTCGGAGCCTCCTGAAGAAGAATATGAGGACGACAATGAAGAAGAGGATGAGGATAGCTATAAAAACCGTACTGAAGCCTATATCGGTAACATATTTGTGACCTACCTTTGGTGCCAAGGCAGTTAACTCACGGACTACAGGAATGGGGTTACAGAGGATGAGATAAAGATGTGTCAGGAATTACTCAAAAGAGAATGTGAGACCCCCAAAGACACACTAATGGACAGCAATGCTTGGTTTCATATCTGCAAGAACATAGCTCAGAAAAACAAAAGTGCGATCATTCGGTCAATAGCTCAATTGATTGTTCCTTCTGCCGAGCTTGAAATATGCAGAGGTCAAGTCAGCAAAGCTATAGATCTGGTTGATAGTATAAACGAGCTTTGGGATCACTCGATTCCACTTCAGTGGAATCCCAGACTCATACAACGAAGGCTCCCGACCCCACGACCTGATTACGCAGTGGGATTCTCTAAAGATGCGTTCACAGACGAGCAATATGCCAAACTAGAGCCTCTGCTTGGAGAATGCGGAGAAGCTTCTTATTACAAGGGCACGCAGAGTATGCTCTTCACATTCTTTGTAGCAGAAATAAGAGATGCTAGTGGGTCATTTCTAGTCGCAGAGCGCCAGAATGCTCACAGCATGACCCGGGCTCTTCGGGGTATTGTCGAGCTTTACAGACTATCTGGACGTTGTCAGGATGAACTGGACCGGAAAATCCTCGGATTCTCAATATGCTATAGTCATTCGCATGCTGAGTTATATGCCCTCTACATCGTGACTAAAAATGAAACAGAGACATGCTATTACCGCCATTTTCTCAAGACGTTCAATTTCGTGGGAGGTGGGATGGAGGAGAGATGGAAGTCTTATAAATTTGTAATGGCTCTTTACAATGACTGGGTCCCAATCCATCATCAACGACTCTGCTCAGCAATTGACAGTCTACCGGATGTTGATCCGCATACTACTTGGACATCCGAGCTGCCTGCGCTTATAAATGGAACTGTATCAGAGAACATGACCGCTGCAATATATAGCGGTGAAGACTGATTGAACTTGCTTATGCCCACTTGTTTTGACTTCATTCATACTTACTTCCCCATAGTTCCCCTTCGCGATGTCAAGTTTGATTTGATTTGAATTTTTTTTTCCCGCCAAATCACTGAATCACCATACTGGGCCTTCAAGGAACTCTACCTACTAAAATGAAAACGAGTTATCCAGATTGCTACATAGGTACCATTTATAACTTGCCCAGTTAGTTTATATACCCATCTACAAGCAACATGCTACTCACACTTACAAGAAACTATGTACTCCCTAGAGTAGAGCGCTTTTCTCCACATTCAAACCAGTTAGAACTCACACCGTGCACTATATTTCCCATGACGAAATTCGATACTCTTAAACGCACTGTAACTACTCTACAAAAGTAACTGTGAAACAATACCTCTAACTAACTTGAAAAGTAATAGTAATAATAATCATAATCATAATCATAATAACCCAGCTTTGCTTTGCTTGCAAGGCATCCCATTCGACCGGGAAGGGGTCAAAGAAGAAAAAGAAAACCCCAAAAAGTTGGAGTCAAAGGGGATCGAACCCTTGACCTCTCGCATACTTGCGAGGATGCAAAGCGAGCGCTCTACCACTGAGCTATAACCCCGGGTTTCTTGTGGCAAGATTAGTTATTTTAAAATATATGGTAATTTAGAGCTGTGGAATGGTTGCAAGTTATGGATCATGTAGACTTCAATATTTGAAGTTGGGGTGGAACTACTGGCGAATGCGGTCTAGGTAATTGTTGTTGTAAGGTATTTGTGAACAAGGTAATCTTATGGTTTTACTGGTAAATTACTCGGATGAAGACACAGTGATCAGCTAGCTGTCTTCACATTCAATATCTCCCGAATGTACTAAGGGTTCAATATGCTAGTGGTCTCTGGTTGAGACTTTATATATCTAAGCAGGTCGTTCGCATACAGTCATTAGAAAAGTGCTCATACATCCACATGCTCCAACACCACACTTCCCTTTCGTGTCGTCGCCTCCACATAGCCCGGATTCTCTGCCTTCAGTTGCTTGAACGTCTTCTCTGCATCCCATACCCATGGGCTGTCCGACGCGAAAAGCAGGTCCATGTCCTCCAAAGTACGTTGATTGCTCTCTGGGTAGAATGCCCACACCATCGGGATTGCGATGACGTTGCTGGCCGCGAAAACATATAGCGTCTTCTCGCCAATGGCGCTGAACATCACTGGGCAAAGAAGTGTCTAGTCGGCTGTGTTAGCTTTGCTTCGCAATCCAGGAGGATGAACTCACCAGCCATCCGTTTCCGATACTCCACCCGACCACGCCCCAGGCGTTTCCGCGGGCTCGTACTGCCAGTGGGTAGATCTCGGCGGGATAGATCCAGGGTACTACATGTGTGCGAGTTAGCGAGGGTCTATACAGGAAGAAGCTTGATATATACCTGTCAGCCATGTTGCTCCAAAAGCAGCAGTAAAGATGAAAATCATTGCGGCCGCGGCTGCTCCGAAGGAACTAGCGCGAGCAGCATCGCCCGAGTCGCGGGCATTGATGGCTAGGCGGGAGAATCCTCCGGCTAAGAACATGGCGATTCCTTGACTGACTGCTCCCCAATATAGGGTCCAGCGACGACCGATGCGATCGAGCGTAAAGACACATACGAGTGTTGCGAACTGAGCTGTTAGCAACGTCCCATGGTGAAAGATATAGCACTCACCATGTAGAAGACGTTGTTCAGTCCACTAAGCCATTGGCTCTTCATCGAGTCGAAACCGGCAATGCTGAAAATGGTGGGCGCATCTGCTCACGTTAGACTAGTCCAGTAGATGTGCTTTGGTAGTTGACATACAAACAGTGACACCTGCGATACCAACCCATTCTTGCATGATCTGCAGCCAGACAACCAACTGCACACGTCGTCCAAGATGCAATTTGCCTGTCTTGTGTCCAAAAAGCATTGCTAGGTACGAAGTGCTGTGGTTCATTGACCGTTCCATTTCTGCAACGTTCTGGATATCCCGGAATTCGGCTTCAGCGCGGACAGCATCGTCGCCAGTACTTCCTCGAAGACGGCCAAGGATGTAACGCGCTTCTTGCTCGCGACCAACTTTGACCAGCCAACGTGGTGATTCGGGAAAGAACCAGACCGAGCCAAACAAGAGGAGCAAGAAGATGATTTGAAACGCGATGGGGAAACGCCACCGGAAAGCGGATTTGCCGCCATCGATAAAGGACAAGCCACTACATCAATTAGACAAGCCTCGAGACAAGTAATGTATACTTACAATTCAAGCCAGTAAGCCACCACGACACCGAAGATGTTGAGAGTAAATTCGATTGCGATAAACTGTCCACGGGAGGTATGTTCAGCTGTCTCTGTAGCCCAGACGGGCACGATAGCGTTCAGAATCCCCGTGCCGATACCATTGATAAAACGGGCTGTGATCATACGTCAGTTTAGAGTGCGAATAGGCTCTTTGGGTCTCTTACAGCAGATCATCCAATTGTGGTTCTGCGCTGCGCATTGCAGTGACGCCCCCAAAACCGCCCAGACTGCACCTGTAGCGATAGTCCTGATTCTGCCAATCTTGTCACCGATCCAGCCACCAATTAGCGCGCCACACAACGTCCCCAGGTAGTAGACAGACACAATTCCGCCTTGCAACAGACTGTTTGTAACGACCGGGGTGAGCTCTCCGTCTTCCACTTTGGTGTATCCGAAGCCCATAAGGTCGATGTAGTCTTTGGAGTTGTTCACACCCGACATCATCCCCTGGTCATACCCGAAGAATAGGATCGACAAGGCCGCGATGCAATTGATAGCGATGAGAAGATTACGCTTCTCTAATTTGTGGACGATATTCCATGATGGTATTAGGTCACTCATGGTGACTACGCTAGGGTAGGCGGTTGCAGTGACTGTTCGGGTGTTAACCGGAAGATACCTTCTTTCGCTTGGGTGACTTCAAGCAGAAAGACCGCGTGATTTGGGGGAGAGGTCAACTACCTGCTGTATAGAACCACGTGCGAATGAGAAGGAAGGTTACAGAGACAGCGGGGCGACGCGAGGATTAAATAGAACGGACTATAAGCTTGGTGGTGCAATTTGCGCCTGAAGATCATCCATTTTCAAGGAGCAACCCCATGGCGCAGGACCGGTGCCAGCCCGATGAGTCGAATATGGTTACATCCCGGGTGGGAGGACATCAAACAGCCACATCAAGGCACTTGGTTCCACTCAAAAGCAGAGACGCCATTGGAATACGGGACCCGCACGAGAAAGTCTGGAGAGAATGGGTGGGAACCCGACCCCAGACCGGGACGCGGACGAGTCCAAATCGGTCATCCGGCCAGCGCCTATGCTGCCGACCTGCAGACCGAAGGATTATGGACCAATGTCCGAGGTGGAAACAGTGACGGCATGCTAGTGTGGTTTGTATGTGTCGTGTAGGAGAGCGAGGTACTAGTCAACCGAAACTCGGCTGTTCACACTGCACCCTCCGGGGTTGGCATTCTGGGGAACGCACTCCATACACGGACTTGGGGATTCAAGAAAGCAGCGGTATCGGCGGGGCACTAAAGCTGGAGCGGGTGGTACAGAGTAGTTGGCATAGCGGATTAGGCCATCAGGAGGAGTGGATGGCCTGAAGTGTGGAGGTTTTCCGGGGATTTTGGTCCAAGCGGGTGGGGATTTCAGCCAGATTGAGGAAATCCGGAGAACATCGCGGCGGACCAACTCCGACTCTCCTCTTTGGGACATCCCGTGCCAGTTTAGCCTGCCAACTATCTTTGCTGGATGTTGAAAGAAACTTATTCAGATGACTATCTTCTTATTTCTTTGCAAAGTTCTCTTTATATTTCGTAGACAACTAGGTCTCTTGCAAGATTGATATGTCTTAGGATGATAGCTTTATCAACGCACACAATAACCTATGTCGGGCTCACTAATCCTGCCACGAATTTGGCAACCTGACTATGAGATAGTGACATGCCACAATATTGAGAAGTGGCCTGGCTCTTGTCCATGGCAGATATGATTTGGGTGTCAGAAAGCTGTGGGGACTGTCTGAGATTTCCTACTGGCGCATCGATGATCCCAAGAACCTGGTGAGGTGAGGCTCATCCGAAAGTTAACATTAGAGTGTGATAAGTAGCCTTGTTAGTCCTGCTTGCTCACCTTCTGCTGCTGCTGCTCGTGCAGCATGCCGCGAGTGTCTACGTACAACCCTTGCCTGAAGTTAGAGGTTTACTTCGTCTCGGCATATTGAAGTCTAGGGCTTTCTGCGCTTTTACACTTCGCATAGGCAAGCATAAGTATAACTCTGTTTTTCCTGGCTTTTGTGAGCCGTATGATATGGAATCTAAGAGTTCTCTACAGTTCTCAGCTGTCAGTACATATCAACGGTATGGGAGCAGTGGTTTTGAGGATGGCATTCAGATTCCCTTATCACAACAATGGCGGAATTTTGCAAGCTTGAAATGACACTTTATAGGAAGCAAGAAAACAGCTCTTGCCAGAACTTGTCAGGACTTGGTAAAGTCGTCTCTAGTATGACTTTTTAGCCATGGTGGTGGTCCAGTAGCATTGTATCACCCCTTGGCGTCAGGCAACTAAAAATCTTATGGATCAATGAGATCAGGGGCGTAGCGGAGCGGAACTAATTGGTATCAGATCACAAACACACCCTACCTCCGGCCGAAATTGGAGCAACCGGTTATAGAAGACTAGAAGTGCACTTTAATATAGATTGAGTGGGCGCCAGCAGCATCCGAGCCGCTAAACCGTGTTTGGGGCCCGTCACCCACCTTGGATAGACAGTTGTATGTCCAATTGATTCCCCTATTGCTGTGAGTGGTGTCTCATTGCACTCTGCTCCTGTGCAATCAGTATTACCATGACCAGAACGCGAGCTCTGATTGCAGAGGAATTATTCGCCTGTGCAATGTAATTTTAGCCGTGCCGTTTCTCAACGGTTCTCGTTCCGGACAGAACAATTTTGGGCGAAACAATATAATTCCGGATCTGCATGAGAGCATGAGTGGCCACTGGGGGAAAGCCATAATCCTACAAATGACCAAAACAACACATTCACAGTCAACTTGAGGCGCTTAAGTCGTAGCCTAGAAGCATTCCATTTTCCAACGAAGCACTGCTGTTACCCACTGAACCGTCCCCAATTGCCAAGCCAGTAACCACTACAGGATGCACGTCAGTTGACCAGACACTGTCTGCAGTCTTATGGTTGAACATGTCGGCCATCGGCACCAAGTTAAGCTGACTTAGATTCAGAGCTACGGACGTCGATGCTCCGCAAGATGCGCTCTGCAAAACGCAAGTCACGTCATATCAGTCCAAGCTCATCCGCATCATCCAATAAAGAGCGCCAGCACTCCAAGTCAGATTGGGATGAATTTACGAGCGATCCATTCAATCCGCGCTTTAGACTTCCAGTCCAATGGCCTTCAGCCCAAGACTTGGACTACCTTTAGGTGCCGTGCACTGGCTCGAGCCATGCCGACGATAGCCTTTATGGAGCCAGGGGCTTGGCCATTTACCCGCGGAGACTGACGAGATTCGGTAATTTTCATTCCCAGAGGCACCGGAGAGCAGTTCATGATGCAAGATTGACTGTTCAC